GCTCCTTTTTTCTCCACATTCTCTGCAGCATTTATTATTATTTGTATTCTTGGTGACTGCCGATTTTTGATGTGAGATAAAATCTCAGTGTAGTTTTGGTTTGCATTTCTGTAATTGCTAATGATGTTGAACATTTTTCATGCATTTATTGGCTATTTGTATTTGTTCTTTTGAGAAGTGTCTATTTAGTTCATTTGCCCATTAATTAGATTATTTGACTTTTTTTGATGTAAAGTTTTTTGAGCTCTTCACATGTTCTAGATATTAATTCTCTCTCAGAAGAGTAGATAGCAAAGATTTTCTCCCATCTACAGATAAAAATACAGGGAAAATGCTATTCTAAAAGAATTATTGCAGCATGATTTATAGCAATAATTTGGAAGCACAGTTAATAATAGGGAAATAGTTATAGATGACATAATTTTTAAAAATAATTGTGAAGACTTTAACAACTTGAAAAACCTATCAGTTGAAAGGGTTATAGAGACACTCATAAATTCATATTGTAACTTCACAAAATGCGTAGTAAGATGAATGAATCATAAAATGAAAAAAATGATTTAAAATCTACAGATAATGAGGTAATTGGATGAGTATGCATAGAGGTTTAAATAAGGATGGTAACATATAAAAAGGACATTTCCCCCCTTAAAAAAAGTATCACAGTATTCTGGAGAAGTCCTAATGCATAGGAAAATAACATGTTTTGTTTTTATTCTGTTAAGGTTAATCATCAGTGAGATTTTAATCTCCCATACAATTCTAAACAAAGTAAAAATCGACTCTAGTTATTAAAAATGGATACACATTTTAAGAGTTTGCTATATAGAATGTGAAATTACTGCTTTCAGTTTCTAAGACCATTTTATCAAATCAAGTCTTTTATAATTTATCTGATAGAAGGAAATTAAAAAATGTATTAAGGGAATGTTTCCTTTAGAAATTTTGGAAAGTTTTCCATATTGAAAGAATAATTCTCACTTTTAGGTGATTACTTTCCAGTATTAATTTCATTGAATATAAGTAACTATTGGCATATATAGCTTTTGAAAAGGACCAAGTAATTATTAAACTTATTGCCAGTGTTTAATGAAACCTATATACTAGAAATAATGATCCTCAGAGCAACTCATCAGAGTGGGTATCATTATGATTCATCTAAGTGAGCAAACTGAGTCTTAGAGAGGGTTAAATAATTTGTATAATATAAAGGTAATTTACTTTGTGGAGCCTAAATTCAAACCTAGATTTGATTTACTCTAGAAGACTACATTTTTAACTGCATTACTGTTCTGCTCTGTGTTCATTACATATCTGTTGTGGTTCTCACTTGGCTACATATTACAATCAGCTATGGAGCTTTGGAACTGTCTAGGTGTCCAGGTTCTATTGTAGACCTATGGATTAAGAATCTCTGGAGTGAGGGCTGGGGTTGTGGCTCAGGGTAGAGCACTTGCTTTGCATGTGTGAAACACTGGGTTTGATCCTCAACACCAAATAAAAATAAATAAGTGAAATAAAGGTATTGGGTCCAACTATAACCAAAAATAAATATTTTTTAAAAAAGAATTTCTGAGTGAGACCTGGTATAGAGCATTTATTTTAAAACTGGACATAAGATTATAATGCACAGCCAAGAGATTTTACACCTGACACCACAGGCTGTGATGGAATATAATCTAGTATAAGGTGCAATAATAGAGCTCAAAGTAGCTGAGAGAAAACTTTGTATACATATTTGAAAAAACTCGATACTGATATTATTTATACAGAAAGAGTGTATTATGTGAACTATACTGAAGTCCTAGAACCACACACATTGTCATGTTGAAAACAAAATTAAGTTGAACCTTTTTACTTTTGGGATGAAAACATTTTCAAGAATGTAGTACCATTGTCTGTGACCAGTAGTGAAGTGATAGTGTTTGAGGCAGAAGACGAGAATAAAAACACAAGCAGCATAAATGCTGATGTATTTGGGGAAAACTATATGGCTGAGAAGGGGATCCAGATTAGAGCTTTTAATTGCTATCACAGTATATTTAGACTTGATTCAGTAAATAACAGAAAATAATTTCATGTTAATGGTTAGATATTTATTTGGTAGGAAATTAGGTCCATTTATCGAATGAGATAGAAATAGAAGAAACATGAATCACTTTTTCTCCAAAAATTAAAAGTGTGCATTATGAAGTCTGCCATGAACTTTTAAAATTCTTAGCTGGCAAGCCATGGCTGGGACCTGTATTCACAGCTAAATTTATTTTCTAGAAGTCTTTCAGGTAATCTCAGGTGCATCCAAGAAAGTGCTTTCTTTACATTTCTTTTTTTTTTTTGAGTTTTTTTTTAATATTAAAATTATAGAAAGAGTTGGTTCCTTACAGCAGGTAATTTATTTAGATGGTAGAAAATTGTTTGCATTTTTTACTTTCTAATCCTTTCCATGAAATGTTTGACTTTTGAGGTATTTGTTTATTTATTTATTTTTGCACCAATCTCACTTTTATTCCTTTAGTCAATTTCTTATTTGCCTCTTCCTTGAGTATTGTATCCCTTTGTATTCAGGAGAGGCTAATATATGAACAAATTTATTTATTTATTTATTTTTAAAAGACAGGGTCTTGCTATTTTTTTTTTT